GTAGTAGTAGTAGTAGTAGGTGCCAAGCCATGCCGCAGTAGTAGTGGCAGCCGAGGAGGAGGAAGGAGGAATAGTCGCTAGAAGTAGCAGCAGGAGGCACATGAGTAGGCATAGCAGGAATAGGGTTAGAGCTGCAGTAGTAGTAGTAGTAGTAGCAGCAGGTAGTAGCAGCAGTAGCAGCAGCAGCGGCGGCGGCAGTGGAAGTGGCAGTGGCAGTAGCAGTAGCAGCAGCAATGGCAGTATCGGCAGCAGCAGCAGCAGTAGCAGCAGCAGTCGCAGCAGCAGTCGCAACAGCAGTCGCAGTAGCAGTCGCAGCAGAAGTAGCAGTAGAAGTAGCAGCAGCAGTAGCAGTACCAGTGGAGTAGCAACAGCAGTAGCAGTAGTTGTTGTCGTGGTTGTGGTGTTGGTGTTGGTGGTGGTTGCAGCCACAGCAACAGAAGCTGAAGTGCGTGTAGCAGTCAGTGGTCTTCAGTTTGCAAGGTTATTGGTAGCGGGCCACTGATCAACATTGAGATCGATAACGGCACCATTTCATTTAAGTGTTGTCTCTTTGCTGATCTCCTTTGCCTCCGCTTCACCATGACAGCTTGATTAGGGCTGCCGTGGTTCACGTCCCAGATTACCGACAACACACCGTGCTTACACGGCAAGCATGAGGTATCAGTTCCAGAAGCTGCTGGGCAGTGGCAGCTACGGCCTGCCTGCCTGGTCTTCTTCCGCAGGGTGCCAGAAGCGGATTGGAGCAACACACGTGTCATGCTCGCTTGTCGAAGCGTGTGAGTTCTGATAGTTTATGTTTATTGCTGTCGCAGTCGGGTAGAAGGTGCTCGGGAGAGACAGAACGACAATGAAGAGAGCAATTATTTCAGGGCTGCGAGAGGCACTCGGGCAGTCCGTTGCCAACTCTGGGCATCATGAACCGTATATACCATAGCCTGCCAGTTCCAACGGGTGCTTGCTTTGGCATGGGCAGCATGGTATGGCCTGGTATGTCATGACAGGGGTTGTCGCCTCTTTCCGAGACGTCACGAGAGGAAAGGATGTGGCAGTGAAACGAGTGCCGGGCGGCCAGCCGTTTGGAAAGTCTTACAGTGAAGCAGCAGGGAAGCGGGACAGGAAGCCATTTTGAAGCTCCTGAGGCGAAGGGTTTTCGACAACTTCCTCATGTTGCGGCGCACGCCGTCTTCTCAACTGAAAGCAAGTTCTGTGCCTGTGTTTCTCTAGAATTGTCGGACCTCGCCCAGGCTGAGGGAGATCAAGTTGATGCGACACTTCTGCCATCCGAACCTCTTGCAGCTTCACGATGTTCGAAACCCAGATTGCATCCTGGCACATGACGGATGCGCCCTGTGGAGCTTGGCCAGGTCCTACTGGTGGAGTCAGGCAGTGTCCGAAGCGGAAGAGTGCAGACCGCGCAGATGCCTTCCGCCCCGGACCTGGACTCGCAGGCGGCGAGCTATATATCTCCATGGAGCCAGTTCCTCAGTCATGGAGACCTGCAAAGAGGCGCTCTGAATACTGAGGACCTTGTCAGGGGTAGTGTTGGTCATTCTTCTCTCACGAGGTTGATGGACTGCGATCTTGACAGGCTCGTGAGAGGTCTGGCCATGGTGTACTTTATTTTGTTCGAACTCAGCTTTTCAGAGCGCAGCGGTTTTGCATCATCGGCTTGCAGGCCGTGGCGCCCCGCTCGAGGAGTCAGTGGCCAAGCGCTTCTGTGCGCAGGCGCTCGATTGTATGTATATCTGTGTATATGCACACGCATATGCATATGCACATCTATCTATCTATCCATCCATCTAGCTAATCTAATCCAATCAATCTATCTACCTATCTATCTGTCTACCTACCTATCTATTTATCTATCTTTCTATTTATCTATCTA